TGTCCAGGTACCTAAATGACGAATAATAAAGGAGGGAAATAAATATAAATATACTTTTTAAGGTCAGGCTGGTGTGCGCGACTCATTTTTTTCGAAGATGCCTCTGTGATGAAAAACCTGGGGCAAGCGTGACTTAATCAAACAAAACGACCTCGATAAGCCAAAGTTCTTGTCAAGGCCGTAGATAGTCGCAGCGATCTATTAAATACGGGGACTATAAACTATGAATTCGGCAAAGACGTATGATATGTTGGGAAGTGATAACACATAATGAGTGAATAAGGCAAGTTTACTTATAAGGAAATTTCTGGCATGCTTGCTTCGAATGCTTGAGGTCAACAAGCGATGAAACGTAGTTTTCAGTTTTAGCACTCACTCGTGAAGACCCTCTATCTCAATTTACGGGTTGCTGGACATGCAAGTTTGGCCATCGAATCTAGCCAACAAAATCTTCTCTGCAAGTCTACTTTCGCATACTCCTGAAGACGGAACTCGGGTTTGCACTATTTGCTGCACTATTTCCCTTATTGTTGTTTTTAAATTTTTCCATCATTTTTATATCGCATTAGTTTATAGTATTTCAGTAGCTACTTTCTAGGCTTTGTGCTTATGTTATTTTTAACCCCCTTTATTCCATTTGCAGGCATTTACAGTAGATAGCCACCACGTCTTCAAATCCTTTCATTTATCCAAATATCCGGTGACTTTTAAACATGTCAATTCCGTTCCCCCAGAGTTTGTGTTAGAACCACACCGAAATATCCGAGTGTTCTGCAGAAGACGAAGACTGGTGGCGGTAATGATGACAGCAGACTACGGCAGATTACGGCAAGCTCGGTGGCGGCTGAATAAGGACACAAAGTTCATTAAAAACGACCGAAAATTCCAAAGATGGAACTAAAGCAATGCGGAAAAACGAGGATAACTGAAATCATGCTGAAGCCAAAAGTGTCCGACAGAAAGTTAGAATATTAACTATGCACCAGTATTTGTGTCTATTGCCAATACAGCGCACATGCGAGTCCCGGGAATTAATTGAGAAGAAGACGACTCGATCGCTGATATAATACCTTTATTCGCCTGACGTTTCGAGGTCACGTTCTTTTTTACGTCTATCCCTCAGAGTCTGGTAGTCGAGACCGTCGAACTACTCCTGTGAATCAAATACGATGAGACGGAGAATCGCCTTGGACATATCCAAATCCTACAGCTCCTGAAGTTCTTTCTCAGGACGAACCTCACTTTTGACGGAACAATCCACGAGCAGGTGAAGGGAACACCAGTGGCTTCACCGATTTCGGGACC